TTCGTCATGTCTTCTTTCACTGCTAAACATGCTTCTGCACCAAGAAGAAGGAATATCTGGTATTTATCCGATAGCAACTCATTAGGCTACACCTATGCACTCCTTCCCTGCTTTTGTAAAGAAATAAAAGTAGCATCAAAGCAGCAAGAACTCCCACTCACCCCTGTGATCCAGAACAGATGAGAGAAACTGTAATGCAGTTTTAGGTAAGATTCCAAATTAATAAAAAGAATTAAAAGAGTCAAAATACTAAATACAGTGGACAAGCTATGCACTAAGGTCTTTTTCACTGCATCACTGAAGAAGTTGCCAGGTTTTTTACTGGCCATTCAGTCTTATTTCCAAAAGCTGTTTCACTGCTTCAGCAGATCTAAAGACAAAGCACCAACCTGATAAATATTTATTAGGACGTTTGCAATTTCAAAATGTCCTTTTCACTGGAGCTTTATGGGAATGGAAATGTCAAATGACTGACACCAAAATATGTGGTTATTTTGAATTTTATGTTGAAAACCAGGCTGTTGGAAAAGCAACAAAAATCTCCTCTAAGGATGTATTTGCATTCAATGAACCTTTTCTCCTTGAAACTGATTTTCCTTAAAATTTGCAGTTGAAAAATAAAAAAGCAGTCACAAAAATAAGCAAACAAAAAGTTATTTTCCACCCTCACCCTTCAGCAGGCTTTATTAAAATGTTTCCATGAAAGCACTAAAGAACCATATGGTTTTAACTGCAATAATTCTTTGTAATTCCAGAAGAAAGTAAGGACTGCTAAAAGGCCAACTAAAGCTACATATGCATCAGTAACACTAGTGTTTGGAGTTCAGTGCTCTCCTCTTGACAACTATCATTTTCATCTCCATTTTATAACAAAGAGTTAAAGTAGTACTGTCCTGATCTGCTTCCCTTTTTAAACCTCAGGTATAACACTGAGAAAGAGCAACGCAGTAGACTCTGGTGCTAGAGTACAGACCCCGAAAGTACATTTGGGCTTAACCCATGTTGAGCCTATACGTACCAACATGTACCATCTCTGCCCCTCAGTGCAATTTTCCTCACCAAGGCTGGCTCAGGCTCAGTGCACAGTACCGTTAGGGATCAGGGTGCCTCCAGACCGCCAAACAAAGAGATGCTCAAGGTGTGAAGTTCCCTTGCATCATCAGCTATCCACACTAAAGCAAGCAGCCTAGTCCTTTGGCAATGGCAGGCCAAGGATGGACATGGGAATCCTGGGAAGACTTTGAAAGCAAGGACTGCAAGTAGCAGAAAGCACCAAAAGCACCCAGGCCCAACCATCTGGAACAGTCTCTTACTCCTCTGTAACTTTCTGCTCATCTTTGTGCCCTACCTGATCCCATCAGTATTATTCACACAGAGTTGCTTATGAGGAGAAGTTGAAAGTCCTCCTCTTGGGGGCTCCATGGAAATTACTGCCAGTGAAGGACCAGCTCTGACAATCCTGGCAAAATAAATGTAGTTTCTGTAAGGATTAACGCCTGATAGTCAAGCAGCATCCATCACCTTAGGAAAGATGTTTCCCTTTGGTGCCAAGAGTCCTTTGATGTTTTTCAAGAAACGGTTTTGACAAAGCACCAAGCTAATAATTTTGTCCAAAGCACATCAAGACTGGAAACCTAACAAACACTGGCAGCAAATTTCTTGTAGAAGTAACCCCTCCTCCTTACTGCTCCACCAGAAGAAAGGAACAAGATCAAACTGCTGTGAGGATGGAATCAAGAGGAAAGAAAATTTGTTTTCTCCAGCATCCATCACTTGTGACAGGTTAGGATATCCATCAGAGACATAAAATGTGTAAAAGTTCCCAGTATGTACTGTGCACTACCATAATGACTCAGACACAAGCCTTTCAAATCTGGGACCAAAAGAATACATGAAGAGCCTCATCTTCATTAACATGGGTGGAAGAAAAGACTAATAACTGAAGGTGAAAGAACAAACATACACAGTGTCTCCCATTATGGCAGAGGCTTGGTACCTCTTATAACAGCAGGATGAGCACGTACACTGGGTTGCAATAAAAATACTCAGCATAAACCAACTGATAAATATCACCTCATCTGACAATGACAGAGGCTGACATACTGAACTGCTTTATCTTTTGCTATGTAATTTTATCAGCCTCACAACAGCTTCACTGCTTACCTTCCCAGCAGTCCTGACTCTCATTTCAGATATGAAACTGTAAGATAGCAATGTTTGTGCTCAGGAAATTAAAACTGCCCGCTATCTCTTTTAATCATCAGGATATTTGCTTCTATTACACAACATACATACTGCCTTTTTTTCCCCGTCCTCCACCCCCGCTCAAAGAGGAAAACAAGCATTCAGAAAATGACCTTACCTATCATTAAGCATTATTCAGACTGAGATTTTAAGTCATATACTATCTGTATTCATCATCAAAACTTCAAACTCTTATATTGCCACTTGGGAAACATTAGCAAAACAACTTGGCAAATACTGGCAAAATAAAAAGGTTGTGTAGAACTAGAACATTCTCAATCCTACATTTTCAGCGTTTGCACATTGACAAGACAGCAGTAATTAAAAATATATGGATTTTATACAATTCAAGAACACCCCTTCCCCTCGAGCTGCTCCGTTTCATTACAAACAGCTGGCTAAATAGTTGCTTATTTTTTAATATTACAAAATTGATTGACAGTTTCAGAGACCTAGAAACAGTATTAAACAACATGCCCTATTCTCTGTATTTTATTATCATCATCTACCTGTACCCCCATCTGCTACCTCATAACTTCCAGCTGAAATATCATTAGCCCTCACAAATCCAGTTGCAGCCAAGTTTAATCCATACTTTTGACCAGACTTCAGAGGAACTAGGTGCACCTCACAGGTCTGCTTATTTTCATACCAATCTATGCCAAGTCATTTGGAGCTACAGCTAACAAAGCACTCAAGCATGTTAATGCTCAGTCACTGTGTAGTGAAAGCACACTCCAAGTCAGACTCCTCAGGTATCCAAAAGGTTCATGACCCTTTGCTACCTAGCTAAACAACTCAGAAGTGCTAAGGAAGAAAATGGGATCTTACCATCCCTTACAGGTAGCAGCCCTCTTTCTCCAACTTTAGATACTTCTAATACATAGCATCTGCTTTGTTGCTGTTGTTCCCCACCCCACAACTGTCCCTTTGCAGCTGTCTCCATTTTGCAAAGGAAGTTAAATTTTCTGTTGCCACTGAACACCTGTGTGTACCCAACTCTTGCCTCTTAATCACATCTTCACAGAGCTTTAGAGATCCACCTTACAACCCCTGCTTCAATTAGTATTTAAGCATATTAAGCACGTTATGTGCTTACCAATGCAGAGGCCAAGGCACATGTTACTGTGGATAATGGGGCTTCTGCTGGATCTTCTTATGCTACTTGCAAAAATCTTCTAAAAATACTATGTATTTAAAATAAAATAGTAATAATAATAAAAATAAAAAAATGCAGTTCAAACTTGGGAGGTAGACCCTGAATCATCTAACAGACTGATTTCTTAGCTTATTTCTTCTGTTTCTGATATAAGGGAGAACTGGGCTTCCCACTTACTCCAATTAAATGTTCTTACTGGCCAACAGGTCAGGTCTCACCAATGTTTTCCCGAAAGTGAGAGGCTGCACAGCTTCCTCTTGCTTTCCAGTGCCTCTGGGCTTGCTCTGCTAGGAATAGATTAATTCAACTCTATTTGAGAAATACAGAAAATTGGACCACTTCAAGTTAAATACATAAATAGAAAAAGAAAAAAAAAAAAAAAGGCTGTACTGGTGCACTAGAGCATCAGTTAATAATCTGCCCCCTTCACTGGGGCAAATCCCTGTTACAGATCAGTACTCGCATTTTTGTGCTGCAAAATGTAGGGTTTTTTACCAGTTTTTCCTGGGGTAAAAGTCTTCCAGATATCTGCAATTATTCAGGATATCTAAAGGTGTTTTGCCAAAACAAACTATGTTATAATGGGCTAATAATGACATCGGCTCTAATGACATGAAAAATGAGTTTGCTCTTTAAAGGTCTATTGTATACTCACTTCTCACGGGAAACCAGCTGGGTAGGCACTAAATCATCCATCCAACTACCCCCTTTTACCATTACAAGCAAGTGAAATTGAGAGAGGAGAATCTGAGCTGCCATCTGATTTAAAGAAATCCATCTGGTTGCATTTCCATCTTTTTGTTAGAAAAAAATTCTACCCCATTACTTTGTATCCTTCACATGAACTAGAGTTACTACTGTTTGACATTCCTTACAGTCCCTCCCTATAAAATGGAAAGTCTTTCTTGAGTAAAATACCTTTATATAAAGAAGTATATGCACTAGAAGAAAATCTGTAATTCCATTTATCAGATATTACAGAGAATTATTAATCTAATCTCTGTAACATTTTCAGCTGCAAAATATGCAAGGGAAAAACATGTAGGATGAAATAAAGGATTTTGGATAAGCAGGATGATGTGCTGTAATAACAGCTATCGCTACTGATACCATCAAATCCAGGATTGATGTAGTTTTATCAGCGCAACATTAGTACTTTGAACTTTTAAAGCGGTACAAACACAGCTAGCATGAACACTGGTATCATTCCCCATAAAGAAAACTGGCACCAGGATAAATATTCTGAGAAGGTTAATGTTGAACATGTTTTCAGGATTCCATTGGCTGGCACTTGTGTTACAATTCATAGCAAATAGGCACCAAACAGGAGAAGGTCAGGAGGTCACTCCACACATCATACCCTTGCACAATAGACCCAAACATATCAGTCCAGGGCAGGGAGAGACAGACATCATAATACTGGTTCCATGCTGGGAGAAGACTGGAATTTTCAGATGAGACTTTCCATAGAGATGCTGAAGATGCGTAACTGGACTCCCTTAAGCTTTTAACCACTGAGGGTACAAATAAGAAATTCAAAAGGTTATCTCTGTGGTGGGCAGAGGATTTTAATTTAACAAAAAATGAAAACAACCCCTTTTTGTATGCATGTGTTTTTATTTGTTGCTGATGGAATTACTTGCCTGCAGAAAAATACAGTGTCAATACCTGACACATTATCTGGGTTTACAAAGAAGAAAATAAACAACATAGAATATGAAAAGTTGTCCAAAATATAAAAAACGTATTAATGCTGACTAGCCTGATTCTTCATTCTTCACCATACAAAACCTTGATAAGACCCTGTCTACCCAGCCAGAGCCAGGAGAGAAATTACTATTAAGCCACAGTATGAGAAACAGTCTCTAGGTTCAGGCAGGCCAATGCTGGCACACACACCAAGGGTATTAGTTGTTCCCCAGTAAGTCTTAAGAAGAAAGTTGCTAACTGGAGAACTGAAGTTCAGAAACTGCCTTCCACAATAAGTAGCTGGTGCAACAAGTATACTTGCTTAGCAAATTAGAAAGTTAAGGGATTTCTAGGAGTGCTTCATCTATCACAGTGACCTTGAATAATAAGAACCTTCTTATTTAATTCATACCATAAAATCATAATTCTCCAACAGATTAAGTTTGTAATAGTATTAGGCATGTGTGCATTATAAATCACTACAGGAAGAACAATGCAATGGAGAAGTGAACCAGAATACACAGTTTAGAAATAAGCACAGTTTTGTTTAAAGCTCATTGTCATATGGCTTTTGGAAGATAATTACTTAATAGTATGATTTGCTGGAATCTAACATTGACTTTTGATTCTACCAAGAGTACATTCTTTACAACATCACAGCATTAAGAAAAATATTTTTCACTACACAGAATTTAACAGTACAAGAAAAAATATACAGGATGTTATGTAACGTCACAAAACTACGTTAATACTGAAAAGGTCTTTGCTTATTTAAGTTTGCTCATTAAACAAAAAAACCTGTATTGCTCATATCACATGTGAGCAAACCAGTATTAAAACATTTATTCAAACAATGTTAACATCACAGTGCATGAATACAAAATACAAATAACTTATAACTGCTGAAAAAAAAATAATCATTGAACAGATGATCTTATGTGGACTTCTAGATCTCATAGTTTCTGAATTTCCTCAGAAGCTCTGATGGAGCATCCCCTGACCAGCGGAAACGCAAGTGCCAGTAATTTGCCTCTGAAAATCCTGAGGTAAAAAGAGAAAGACAAGTACATTATTATAAACATGTATAAAACTAAGTTGTCTGAAGTAATATTCTATAATCTTACCAAGAAAAAAGATAAAGAATGGTTACTCCCAGGGATCTTGACTAGCAGGGACAACCTGTATTCCTGGCACCACTTGAACAAGAACTCAAACAAACACCAATCTTCAAGATATGTATCATCTGGGAAGAGTCTAAAGTAGAACACCAAAAATAATGGCTATCCGGAAAAAGAGGGCTTACAAAGAAAAACTGAATAAATTGCATTTGCTTAGTCTATAAAGAAAAAGGAAGAGTGACGTGTTGAATCTCCAAGTACATGAAAGGCAGCAGTGAGGACAGAAGCCACAGATGGCGCTTTTTTTTTTTTCCAGACTGTGCAAAATTTATGATCTATGGCCTCTCAATGCTAAAATGTGATCTTTCTGAAACCTATTACCAGACTTTGTGTTACAATCTCTTACTCGGTATGTGTACTGTAGTCCGTAATTCTTACAAACAAGCAGATAGGAACTGAAGATATCCAGTTTAATAGTGGAATCCTATATACAAAGTTTTCCTGGACCAAGACAAAACCATTGCCAATGTCCTAACAACAACTATGAACACTGAAGGGCATACAGGACCTGTCAAATATCTCTTAATAGTAACATTTATTAATATAAATATATGCCTATTGGATAAATTAAGTAGGCATTTGATGATTTTGATATTTTTACCGTAGATCTCTAGAAATTAAACTAAAACTTAAAAAACATTATGAGAAAGAAGATGCCTGCAAAGAAAGATCACCATTACAAGGAACAAGATGATGGTTTATTTACTTCGAGATTTTATTGATCTACAAAGGATATAGTGAAAATTTCATTACCAAAAAATAGCCAATAGTATAATGTTATAAAGCATATTTTTAAAATATAAAATTTTTCAGTTGTGCCTCACATATGTTTGTACAATTTTCATATCTATTTTCTGCATTCCACCAATGTTTGGGATTCGGTCAGGTTTTGCTATCCTCATAGTTCAACATAATTTCCTGTTTGATCAAGCTGGGAAGAAATTACAGAACTTTGTTTAATAATAGTTTTCTGATAACATAAACCTAAGGTTATAAAACCCCTGAAGAATCAAGCAGAACAGAGGGTGGCCATTGTGGTAAGTAAACTTTGATTCAAGCATACAAACCTAAGCAGCAGACAGGAAATGGTCAAATGACAGCTTTTAAAATACACATTTATTCTGCTGCATGCACTATTTAAAAACAAACCATTCAAATGCAAAAGAAACCTTCAACTCTCAATTTTTAGTTCTCATTAACTCATCAGGTGCAAACTGTGCAGAAATACTGAATGACACATAAAAAAAAGTAAAAAACCTAAATATTTTAACAGTTTTTAAAGTTATTTTAAATAAAATCACTGAAAATAATTCCCCTCCTCCACCCCCCCCCCCTTTTTTTTTTAATTTATTTTGATATAGCAGTAAAACTGAACTTCCCATTTTGGTTTAAGAATAATTTTTTTCTTCTCCAGTTTTGGGGTTTACTAGCAATCAAGCAAACAAAAACATGGGGTAGGGAGGAAGAAAAGTCTGAAGGCTTCAATGTTAAACAACGCAAAATAAAACCCAAAACAAAATCCCAACCCAAACCCACATTAAAAAAGCTACCAGTTAAACATATTATTCTGGAGAAGAATTCTCATGACAAAGCCTGCTTTTCGGGCCAATTCCTGGATAAAGCAGTTTTTCTGTAACTTCTGGTTTCACTTACTTGGGGAGTCTGGATTCTTTGAAGACTGTGGTTTCCCATCAGGAATTGCAAAATCATCTTGCTCCCTGTTCCCATCTGACAGTCCTTCTTCATTGTTTTCAGTCTTTTGGGTCCAAATCTCACTAGTTATGTTGCTGCTATTATTCGAGCCAGGAGCTTCCAGCATTTGGTCCTTCTTATTCTGGACAGCCCAATGCATTGACTAAAGAAATACAAAAATTACAAATAAAGAACAAACTACTATGCTTTAAAAGATTTTTAGTGAAATTCTCTTTTCTCTTTTACATTGTTGTAATGAATGGTCAAAGAGAAACTTGCAAGTCAATAGGACAGAGGAAGGCATGGCTAATTACAGAAATAGCATTTGAGAGGATAGTTTATGTCAGGGGATGAAGAACAAAGTACAAGTGCACCAAATAATTCTAAGGGTGTTTTGATCAGTTTCTTCTCTCATGTCTTTAGACCCTTAAAGAGGGCTTGAGTGACTTATAAATGTCTGTTTTCAAAGCTGTCTTTGACTTTAAGGTGCCTTTTGAAAACAAAATGATTTGGAAAGATTCACTATTGAAGTCTGTGGAATTATTCCTATTTGGAACTGAACTAAGCTTGATATGATATTTCAAGCAAACATTTAAACTCGGGCATAATGCTTTAGTTGATGAGGTTCTCAAGCTTCTCTCATAAGCAGAACTGAACTGGGTAGAACTGGCAATATGAGTACGTATTCACCTGCCCTAAAATATGACCATGTAGACTTCTAACCATCATTCACCCTCATAAGGAAGGAAAAAAAAAATAATCAAACATTACATAATTAGGATCTAATAGGAACATGCCACCAAATTAATTCACTAACAGAATTAGGAGCATAAACAACCCTCAGAACACCTGCCTGTCACAAATCACCCCACTAGCCTAGCAGGGCCCCTCCAAAGACGTGTATGAAGCACAGGGTTCCAAGGAACTTGGATTTTCAATGAGCTCTTTATTGCATCAGATAGCATGAAAACCTATCTGATAAGCAACATACCAAAAGGAGAACATATTATTCACAGGTCCCAGCTTTAATCTAACGTTGAAAATAATAGAAGGTTCCTACAAAAGCAAAGTGTGCTGAAGTGTTTAAAAGCAACCCTTAAGTTGCTTAACCCTTAAGTGTTGTAACTCATTCCCCCACTCACTGCTGCATTTTCTCTGGACCAGCCCTACCTCCCCCTGCTCCTGAAGGCCCAGACTTAGACACCACCAACCGTTTTCACAGAATTGCTCAAGGCCTCCCACTGCTGGAATGGAATGGTAATTTTGCTTCGTCGCCAGTAATCGTAACGCGCTCGACTCTCTTCATTAGTAAGAATCTCCTTAGCTTGCTGCAGCTTCTGGAAATTCTCCACTAAAAACCAAAATGATACTGAAGTCAGTATTTCTTTTCAAATAAATTAATTCAAATGTGAAAGGGGAGCTGCCAACAAAGGCTTAGAGCAAGCAGAGTAAAGGAGGCACAAGAACTAAATCACAAAGGTGTGTATGTGGTTGTTCTGCTTACAACTTTGCACAGTTTAGCTGACTTTAGGATCATAGCATCTTTGGTGGACAACTGATACCCTTTTCAAATGAGGCACTGGAGTGGGTTGCCCAGGGAGGTTTTGAGTGCTCCATTCCTGGCAGTGTTTGAGGCCGGGTTGAACAAAGCCTTGGATGGTATGGTTTGGTGTGGGGTGTCCCTGCCCATGGCGGGGCATTGGAAGTGGATGATCCTGGGGGCCTTTCCAACCCTACCTATTCTATGATTCTATGAAACGAGGATCAAAATGCTCATTTGTCTACCATCTTCAAAATCTCCTAAATTTAAAGTCCAGAGAAACTTACAGCAGGCAAAAGGCACAACTCACCCCCTTCAGACTTCCTTTAAAAAGAAAATTAAACCAGTCAGAATGCTTGGAAGGAACATGCTTACATTGACAGTAACAAGGAAGTTAGAATAAAGCACACCACCAAGAAAAAACATAAGTGGGAGAAAGGGGACAGGACGGGAGACAACACACAAGCAAAAACTGACAAACAAGAAGAGAAATCTAAATATAATTTAAATAACTTGCGTATTTTATTAGATATGTTTTCTACATATACTAAAATGCTGTCCTGAATACCAGGCTGCATGAATGAGAGCTATTTTTTTCCCCCCTACAGGGTAATTTGTCATTAAATGGTTACTAAGGATGCAGCTGCATGTTACTATTTGTAGAAGGGCTATAAAGACTTAGATTTTATCTAGGAGTCACATGTATTATGGTGATCTATTATTATTACTTGCCTGCGTTTAGCAGTAGCAGTCATTTTTCTCTTTCTTGGTAACTGGTGCTGTAGGCTTTTGGTGATGCTGGGCTCTGTGCGTGGCACCGACACATGTCCCCCCCCATGGTACCCAATGGAAAGGACACTCACAAAGTCGTTGGCCAAACCAAAACATCATTGTTATCAGCTCTGTTCCCAGCCCAAAAGTCAAAACACAGCACTGCACCAGCTACCAAGAAAGAGAAAAATGACTGCTACTGCTGAACCCAGGACATTACTATCCATTTATTCCAGTTTACAAATTAGAGAGATTTCTTTTGAAATACACTAAGCCCAAATGCTAATCGAAATTGATAACTATAAATCAAACAACAGGTTAAGGGGGCAGTTCTATTAGGTTTCCTTTTTCTAGTGTTACTGCTTTTCAAGAAATAAAAGATCTACTTTAATTACTCTTTACTGAACTTTAAGATGATGAAATAAACAATAAACTTTCACTACTGCTGTAAAAAGTTATTTCAAAGAAACACAGCAAGTTCAGGTAAAATGGAACATAAAATTTCTTGTCAAACAAGGCTGCTCTAACATTTGTCACTTTGCCTCCTTCTTTCAGTTGCTTCAATTAATCGGGGGTGGTGATGGCATGAACCACATGGACTGTGGGGTGGTGCAAACAGAACAGGACCATGCACTGGAATAGACTAATTTCCCTGCTGCCATAGCCAGAATTTCCTGCCGACAAAGTTGATTCCATTGGTTTCCTTGGTACTTGTGCAGTCATTTATAATAAAAGATTACTTACCAGGTTACTGTTAATAGGTGGTAGATCGCCTCTCAAACACCAAATCTCAGGGTTTCCTTGTAAGGCAGTCTGAAAACCCCCACCTATTTCACTCTTTAACCTCTCTATCCCATCAGCTGTCTGATTCTAGGCTAGGACAGCACATCAATAAGGAAAGCCAAGCCCTGCTGAGAGCTCATCTCAAGCCAGTGGAGTACGAGTCTCATTTAACATCTACCATATTTGCAGCTCTGTTGCTTCAGAGGAGAGTGGGGATGAGGTCAAACTCAAACAAGTAGGTAAGCTATGATGTTCAGTTTATACGCAAGTTGTTCAGCTTAAAACTAACAGGAAGAATCCAAAGGAAAACCTTTATACATTACTCAAAATGAGAAGTATATTTAATTATTCTTCATCAGATTTCTGGTGGGAATCATAAATATGATCAGAACAACCTTTACTGTGAGAATATAAACTATTCAGATATTGGTGAGCACCGATTACAGCTATCTTGTAGTTATGAATCCAGGAAGATTGCCTCCAAATAACTCAGGTGCTGCTTAGCTGTCACACGTATGATGAACTGCACACTTTCATAAACAGGAATGCTAGCTGCTGTTCTGCAGATGGCTACTCATCTGGTGCTGGTTTCTCTTTATTTCAAGTCATTAAATTACATTAAAAGAAACTAAAGTACATTTAATGTGTTCCTGATGGGCTTGTTCATGGAAGCAAATTAACTAGTTGACGCAAGTATGGCACTTGAATGCCACTAAGTATGGAAGCAGGCCAACTTCACAGGACTAGAAAAGGATACGTTCCATAAATATTTTCTGGATTAAAAGATGTTTTGCCATAGAAAGAAAAAAAAATTGAAAGTCCTATGGGGAAAAAAAAAAAAGTGCCTTCCTGCTCTAGTGTCTAGGAGTGTGCAAGTGTTAGAAATTAATACTAAAGCTTGCTATTTAAAAACAGTATGCTCAATACACCTGATAATTAAATTATATTGGGGAAAAATAATATTTAATAAAGTTTTAAAGCTGAATTTAACATTATAGTCATGTTACAATAAGAAAAAAGAAAATAGACTGGTTTTAAGGAGGAAGAATACATACCTGCTTTGGGGTTTCCAGGATGTTTGTCAGGATGACATTCAAGGGCTTTAATCTTAAATTCTGCAAGAATTTGTTCAACCTAAACAGAATGTCAAGGCTTAAAGTGAGTAAATACATACACACAGAAACTATTTTCAAATTTGCCTTTTGAAAGGGGTTGAGGGGAACAACAAAGAATGCTGAAATATTCTTTCCTATTCATTTTTACAAGGTTTAGTCCAGGCAAAAAAATTTGGTTATACAGAGGGGAACTTGAAAGTTAAAGTATGTGCAATAGCAGAGGTGTAGTGTGGATGACTTCATTTTTTTTTTTAATCAGTACATATAAAGGTTTATACAAAATATATGAAATTTATATAAAAGATTCAGCGAGATGTTTTGCCAAGAAAGGTATCTAATACACACTTTATACGAATAACACTGTTTGTGGAAGAAGGATGTAGCTTAAATCTTCCCTGTTCCTCTCAAATCAGAAGATTAATTAGGTGTTCCTGTGCTCATTTCTACAACAAGCCAAGGATGAACATGGATGTTTACTTAAACACAGGCAAAATCTTTAGAAATTGAGAATATTTGTGCTTAAATTTAATCATGTCAGATCAAGACCAGAATATTCAGCAGCTTAGATGAAAATATTCAGCTGGGAATGTGCTGTATATGCCTAAAGAAGCATGTGCTACTACAAATACTTGACCACGTATGCAAAGTAATATGATTACAAAGCACCTATAATGCTTCAGATTTCTGTTAGATGTTAAAAGTAGTGTGCACCATCCTGAAGGAAGCCAATTGTGGTATTCAGTCAACTCATGATCTGAGTTCCTACTCCCATGTCAAAAATAATTTAGTAACATCTGCTGCTTCTCTTAACAAATAAGACTCAACAGATTATTTTTCAAGACCTATCAGCATTTATTCCATCATTTTAATTTAATTTTAAGCAATTTGAAAAATCATCATCACATGTACTTGAACTGCTCATTAATTGCTAAGCCCTCAAGGAATTAGTGCGAAGTAGAAAATTAAGAAATAGCATCTGCGAACAAGCCTGCCCTGAAACTTCAACGCCGCCCTCTGCTGGGATGACTTTTTAGGAGTTATCTCAGGAAAAGCTTTAAATTGCCTTCCGTAACACATCAAAGATATTTATTAGTATGCTTTTAGTGATAGAAATGACAGAGATATTTTCCCAGCATTTGACCACTACGACAGATGAGAGCATCAGATTGAATTTCCTGAGCAAAATACAGCTTTTATCCGCAGTGAATACATCCTTCATTAATCAAAACTCCTTTTCCAAAATTGAAACACAAATTTCAGTTAATATAACAATAAAACATTAAAAAATATTAGCATACCACTAATTTAGACTATCAAAAAGATTATAGAGGTGCCTTTGGGAAAAAAAACTCCACTTGTTTTAGCTACAAAATGCTCAACAATTGCTTAGCTAGATCTCATTACGAAGTATGTATCTGCTACCAAAACAAACTAGTAAAACTAGTATTTGAATATTATTAAAATTAGCATTTATTAATAAGGTATTTTTTGCTTTCCAACCAATGAATACAAGGGTTTAATTTTAAAACAGGCATATAACTTGAGAAACTCAACAGCATTATCAATTACCTACACCTATAAACATTCATTCTTATTAGCTGCAATTTTTTAAACAAAAAAAAAAAAATTAAATAAATATTATTTGGATTTTGTCAAATTTAAGCAGGTGGCTCATGATTCATAACCGTATCACATGCTGAACTAAACTAATGAATAAATTATTATTTCAGCTATATCTATAATACAATCCAGCTTTATAAGAAGCTTTTGAGCTTTGTTCTGGGATCTTAACATCAGTATGCAGATCAGAAAATTGAGCTTCACAAAGGGAGATAATAAAAGCAACAAGAAAGAAGGCTTACGATGCCTTTCAGATAGTCCTGTCTTTAGACATAAACAACTCCAAATCCCCCCTGCAGATAAATAAGCACACTTGAAATATTAGCCGGGAGGGCAGTAGGGAAGGCTCTTACCGTAGACAGTTCATCACATTCTAGCAGGTTGTAGTAATCTTCCAAGTCATCCGGTCTGCAGTTCAGAATTGCATCCATCTGGACTAGTCCAGCAGGCTTTTTCAACCCAGGCACAGAGAGCGTAAAACAGAATATCACTACAAAGCTCACACAAGGGTGAGCTACAGGTAGCCCAAGGGAAACGCAGCTTCCACCCACGTCTGCAGCTCTCTTCAGCGAATTCTAATGCCGGCAGCTGACACACATGAATTTTCTTGAATTCTCGGCCTGCCATTGGTCCCTGCAGGATGCCAATCCGATTGCACAAACCTCCTAAAAGCAGTGCTCCCTGGGATTTGTAGTTGCCAAGGTCACTTCAACTGCACGTCTTCTCCAGACTGAAGGGAGTTATGAATACTAAGTAAAAACTAACTGTATTTGAGATTTAGATCACACCATCATGTGTATAGCAACTTAAAATCAGGCACATACTCACGGGCTTCCCTGCACCTCAACCAGCTAAAATACATTTTCTGCTTAATTTCTAATTTCAGCTTTTGCCACAGTCTTTGACAAGGGGATTATATATGTAATTATAGAACAAAGTAAGGATTGCTTCCAAAACAATAATTACAGAGCTGCAAACTTTTGCACCAACCTTGCCAAAGCCTCTCAAAGTTCTGTCAGTCACTTCATTTTTACTCTTTGAAGGCTACCTAGGGTACATGCATAGCACTCTTGGAAACCAAACAGCTCTGGTATATCAGTTACAAATCTGACAAAATTATGACTATGAAAAGACAACATGAAATACTTGCTACTATCAGACTCCTTCTCATGCTAAATTACATTCAAATTATGCCTTGAAAGTCTGTATGGTGTGAAAAACACATTCCTTGTAAAACTCATTTTATGTTGAAGTGAAATACCTTTAATTTTGACCCATGAGTAACAATCAAGGCCTCAGTCCATCAAAGACTATAGACATGGTTAACCATACTGTCTCCTATGATCTGCTGATTTTAAATCAACCTTTCCTAGGTGTAATACTAACCACTTGCTGAAGTCTTTCCTCTGGACCCCAAGGAGCTCTGGTTTTACTTTTCCTACCCTTGCAAGAGCTTTGTAATCCAGTATGTTTCACATCATTAAAGACAACTGATTCTGTAAACTAACACAAACAGATGCCTTGAATAGTTTCACAGTTTTAGATGCCCTGACCTAGCAGACGAGTCTATGCAGAACAGACACACAGGGTGTGACCAACGCTAGAACTAACGTATTCATCAGTGAAGGACCTACTGGCTATTCATAACTGTTTATAAGATACTGAATATATAATTCCTGCATTTACAAGTTCTTTATGTTATTATCTATATTATTAATCTTCTGAAATTACCGACATATTAGTGTTCCACTGCTTTCTCTGAAAGGTTGTATCCTCTGAAATTTCCTATTTTTACTGTATGTTCAGATAGCCTATTAAAATATATAAAGTACATGAAAAGAAGAAGAAATTATGTTCAACAGCAGGGCACAAGCCTCAATGAAACCATTTAAATGTGTTTAAAAACCACTACTACCATATTTCTCTAAGTAAACAAATATACTTTTTCAAAGTGGAGGAATTACCAATTATAAATCTTTTCCTCTCCCCCATTCATAACTTAATAGTAAACCAGAAAAGTATAAGACAGGAAGCCTTTTAGCAAGAGACCATGTAAATATTTAAATAGATTGTACTCTGGGGGAGGATAAAAAACAAACAGCTGTCCCTCTTCCCAGGTGCACTCCTGACATACTGTTCTTGTCCAAGTACTTCTTGCATATTTGCCTAAGGTGAAAGGGAAGGCTCTTTAACCTTTTCTCCCTCCAGCTTTCAGGGCCTGTTCCTGTCCTGCAAGGTGAACTGCAGGTCCAAGAGCTGAATTTGTACAATAAAACCCTGAGATTTGGAAGCTGCTTGTTCACCAGGAAATTTGCTCACTGAAGCCTTGGTACAGTTTGTATATTTTTGTCTGTTCAGACCAAATAAACAAGAGCTTTGATCCAAACTGCAGCAGTGACCATACTTGTGCCCCCTCAAATCACACACATGCCGCCCCAAGATTTCCAGTGCCTGGGGCACAGAGGGTCCCATAGTGCAGTCTGAGGGTTCGTGTATGGGAGTCACACAATACTGATACTGAATAGTAAATTTTTTACTGCTCCTAGCAACTTTAGTGGGACAATTGACAGCAACCTTCAAAAAAAGAAAAAAAAAAAAAAAAAGAGCAAGAGAACCTGTATATAATACAGAGAAAAATACACAAAGACTGCGTTTGGGACACACAACTTTATTTGTTTGAAAGAGAATTACAGTGCAGGAGATGGCACAGCTCCTGTGGCTACACATGCTTTGGTTAGTTTTGCTCAGAACATACAAACAGTACTGAAAGTGAGGAAATCTCGTATTTGTTCTGTGTACCTAACCACTAACAAAACATTTCCATTCATTCCTAACACATTATCAATATTTTTGCTTGTTTAGAGCCAAGAGTGAAACTAAATTCTGGTTCAGGGTACCTGGAGGTTTACCATCAACTCATGAAAGTCATAAACAGCCCTTTAAATAAATCAGCAAGATCTGGAAATCTCTGTTTGGATTTATTCCCTTAAAATACATCAAATCTTCCAGTACCCATTCTTCTTAACCGACTTCAGTTGTACTGCTTTCTGAGGGTAAAGTATACATTTTCAAGAAATTTAAGACATTATATAACTCAAATTGAATTTTGCATTTCATGCTCCCTCTCTGTCCCCACACGTGCTCCAAGTCGCAGAAATAACAGAGGACCTAAGCCGTACCAAACCAACTTCCTAATTTAGGGGTAACTACTGCAACAACAACATTAACATGTACAAATGCTTTCAGTATTACAGTCAACTTTAACATCCTTGAATCTGTTCCTCACCAATACCTTCTCAGAAAGTTTCAGATCATACACCTGTATGGCTTACACATTTCTTCCTTAGAATGCAGTCTTCACATTATTCATTTGGTGTTTATTTAGGTCACAGCTCTCCTTTGCATGCTGACAAACCATCTTCCACATGATTTTTAAGAAATCTGAATCTTCCCTCTGCCTCAATAAGGAGAAACAACGTTTGCATACAAATTCACACAGAAAAATAAAAATGTTCTGATTCACATCTGGTTACTTCATATCTAGGTTTTGAGAAAGAGACAGTGTAAAAAATGACATGTACATCTTTTTTGGGGTTGTTAATACCTGAAAGAACCAGGAAAAAAAAGTACCCCCCAATACATATATCACATATAAAGTTATGTATAAATACGTTTTGATGCCAAAAAAACACATACCAATATTTTTTAATCTAAGGGGTTTAAAACCTGTTGTTATCAAGGCCTTCAAGGGAGAAATTCTACTTGTATAATCCTGGTCATGCCAGTAAATTTAGTGATTCAGTTGTATTAAATTCACTGAAACGGTTCTGCAAGTAGTCTGTGATGTTAAGCAGTACCATTAAACAAAACAATATTAAATTTATATCCATTAAGTTTATATAAAAATTCTATGTTGGTAAAAGCCCTGGGAAACTGGCCAAGTTCTATCCTGACAAGACTTCAAGGTAGAAAGAGACACTATGTGTAATAAAGCCCATGTGTAGTACCTTCATATTTCATATTCGGTGGTGGTCCACAATTCAGCATCAAGGTCAGCCACTAAGCATTGTCTCTACAATTTACACAACAGAAGAGATCACTGGAAAACCACAGGTCACCTCTGCTACTGTAGTGCACATCACACCAGGGAACGCTGATGTGGAAAAAAAAAATGAATTTGTGAATGTCATTAGAGCAAATTCCAACTCTCACAATTTGCCATCGGGTTTCTCACACATTATGTAAACTCATCCAGCTGTTGTTCAGAACACTGCTCAGCCCCCCCACTCCCTTAAAAAGACTTCCTGTAGTTCAAGGAGTCCAAGTACCATCGCAAGGAGTTTAAACATCCCTACCAAAAAGCTTAACCTGTAGGTGCAAAACCTTTCCCAGGCAGTTCGCAGACACAGCGATGTCGTCAGCAGAAGCTATCATCCTGCAAGTACTGCTGTCTGCCCCCAGCTCTGTTTACAGAAGAGCCGCTATGACACTCTCGGTAACGCGGCCCGACTGCCAAACGCGCTCACAGGGAGACTCGTACGAGTTTCCCCGGTGGGTTTCACCTCATCAACTGCTGTACAGATACACGGCAGCCCAACAGAGCGCGTCTACAGCCTGAAGCCTGCGTCAAGCAACGCGTTTGTTCCTCGGGAAGACGCGTTCCCTGATACTGTGAATACACGACAGAGAGGCCAGGGGGGTTCTCAAACAGCTTGTGACAAGGAGACTACCGAGACCCACGGCCACGCCGCGACCGCCATTTGCCAGGAGCGTCCCAGCAGAAGAGCTCACTGCGGGGTGAGCGTGCGGGGTGGGGGAACGACGACAAGCTCCACATGGACAGGACTCCCCCTTCCCGCCATAGGCGGTCACCCCACCGCAGGCTGCAGCTGCCCCGCCAGTGAACAAGACACTGCAACAAGGAAAAGGCGGCCCCGCTCTGAGGTGACAGCCGGGCCCCGGCCCAGCCCGTGACGTTCCCCTCAGCGGCCGCCGCGCCCCGCCCTGCCCCCTACTGGGCGAGGCTCACCACGGGGGACACACGGCCACGTGACGAGAAGCCGCCATGGCACGAGGGGGAGGCACAGCACCCCTGCCACGCGAGGGTGGAGCTGGCACGAGCGTCAGGTGACGGCGGCAGCACCCCCGCCCCCTACGTCCCGCTCACGTGATCCGGTTTGTTGTTGTTGCTGCCTCCGCGGGGCGGGTGCCCGCGTGGGCGGTGGCGCGGTCACGTGCCGGGTTTAAATCGCTCCCTGGGGGTGGGGGAGGGGGCTGTGGCGGAGGCGCTGCTAGCGCTGCTGCGCCGGGCGGGCGGGAGGGAGGGGGGCGGTGGTTGCTACTCCAAGATGGCGGACGACGAGATTCCGCTCATCCGTCCGCGCGACTGCGGCCCCGGCGGCGCGGCCGAGAGCGTCGAGCCCGCTCTGAAGCGCCAGCGGCTGGACTCGGAAGACGGTGGCTGCGGGCGGGGCGCGGCGTACGCCCAACGCCCGGATCGGGGCGCGGGGCCGCCGCCCGCCACCGCTGTGGCGGCGGAGCTGCCGGGTGAGGCGGCTGCCGTTACCGCCGATGGCGACGGCCGGACGGAGGAGGAACAGGACGAAGAGGTGGCGGCGATCTGGAGCGGCGCGGACAATAGGGCCGGGTTGCGGGGCCTGCCCCGGGCGGAGCCGCCTCCGCAGCCGCGGCAGTGGGGCCGGGGGGAGGGGGCGGA